TTCTGCGGGCTCATATGGGGGGGGGGCGGTCCTGAAGGTATGCTGGCCCCTGGCCATATAGGGCTTTAAAGGTAAGCACCAGCACATTGAACTGGATTTAGGATGGCACTGCTAGAGGGGTGTAACCAGGATTTTTTTAGTTTGGGGGGCCCCCTGAAATTCATGCGCAGCCCCTGCTTCTCCCCCAGAGCATTTAAAGGGTCTCTTTAAATACTTTGAGGGAGAAGTGTGTGGGGTGGTGTCCTGTGCACGCCTGCACTCCAAGCTCTGAATTCATGGCTTGGAGTGCAGGCGTGCGTGGCCTCCCTCTGTGTCTCCCCAAAAGTTGGGGGGGCCTAGGAAGAAGTGGGGAAGGCAGGCCCTGGGAGGCCCCACCATAGCTACAGGCCTGGGTGTAACTCTGTTTAGGATTGCACTGTCAAAGATGCAGTGTGTGAGTTCCTTAGTAGTCTCCCCACAATCTGTGAAAATATTAAAGTGTTCAAAATATAACTAATACTTGCCTGCAGGCAGGCAACAAGTTGGCTGCTGTGCCCAACAGAATGCTTGACTAGATGGACCCCCGACTAGATGATCCAGCAGGACACCTCTTAGGTTCTTATATGCCAGTTTTCACTGATGCCAGTCACAATCACAAGGACACTAGTCAAGACTTTGTTCAGGTGGGACCTCTCCAATTATGCCTGACCTTTATGCATACAACAAACATCCTGTAATGTATCCAGTCCAGACTGCGTGGCCGGCTTGGGCTCCACGCGGTCAGGCACAAACGTTGAGCTTCGCTCCAAGAGACAATGGACTATGCAGATCCTAGCCCACTCCAATCAGGGGGCTAGGTTCCCGGCCGAGAGCCTATGGGACTCTCGGCCACTGTAAATAACCTATTGGGAAGTGGGGGGGTGTTTTGGGTGGTGGTTTCTTGGGGAATATAAGCCGGCCTGCGAGCCAGCCAAAGTCTTCTTGTTCCTGATTGAATAAAGTACGCTTTGCTGAAATCACTCTCTGTCTGTGTACTTTTCACTGGCTACGGGGTGGGATCCATCTCCCTCTGAACAGAGACCACATTCCGGACATCGGCGTGAGCCGCCACGCCGAATTTGCCACCGCAGCCAGCATCGAGCATCTTCGAGAAGCGCCGCTCACCGTAGACCTGTTGGTGGTGGATAGGCCTCTCTCCAGCCTACTGGGACTCTCTCTGAATGGAATCCACCAGGTCGGGTCACGGGATTTTGGCGCGGTGTGCGGCAAATTTCCCCGTGTTTTTGATGGCACCCTGGGACGCTTCTCTGGGCCCCCCATCTCTCTGGATCTTGACCCGGCGGTGCGGCCCATTCGCGTCAAGGCCAGGCTGCCGCCACTAGCAATAAAGCCTAAAATCGAGGCCGAGCTAGATCGCTTAGTGGAACAAGGGGTTCTGGAACCAGTCGCATCAGCACGGTGGGAGACCCCCATAGTCACCCCGGTGAAGCCCAATGGGGACGTGCGCATTTGTGCGGATTATAAATGCACGCTAAACAAGGCTCTGCAGGCACATGCTTATCTGGTGCCGGTGGTGAGCCACGTGTTGGTGGCTTTGGCGGGGGCCCGGGTCTTCAACAAGTTGGACTTGGCCCAGGCATATCAACAACTGCCGGTTGATGCCGCCACGGCCGAAGCCCAAACAATCACAACTCACAGGGGGGTGTTCAAGGTTCACCGCCTCCAGTTCGGAGTCTCGGTCGCGCCCAGGATTTTTCAATCTTTTATGGATTCTCTCCTGAAAGGCATCCCCGAGGTTCAGCCGTTTCTAGACGACGTGCTGACCGCGGCTCCGGACTCGTCCTTCGCTGACTGTCTGAGGGCCGTACTACAACGTTTCGACGCAGCAGGGCTCAAAGTCAAGCGGGGAAAAATGTCTCTTGGAGGTGCCTCGCGTCGAGTTCCTGGCCTTCGCGGTCGACACCTTGGGCAGCCACCCCACCGCAGACAAGGTGACCGCCATCACACAGGTGGCGCCTCCAGTGTCCAAGTCCGAACTGCAGGCTTTTTTGGGGCTCCTGAACTTTTACCACTCCTTTTTGCCCCTCAAAGCTGCAGTCGCGGAACCACTCCATCGCCTCCTGGACAAGTCGGCACCTTGGGTCTGGGGTCCGCCACAAGCAGCGGTGTTCCAGGCGGTCAAAGAACTGCTTGTCTTGAATGCGGTCCTGGCGCATTTCAATGAGGCGCTCCCGGTGGTGCTGGCATGTGATGCTTCCCCTTACGGGGTGGGAGCGGTCCTGGGCCACCGGCTGCCGGACGGCTGCGAGGTCCCGGTTGCGTACTATTCCAGGACTCTATCAGCGGCTGAGCGCAATTACGCGCAGATAGATAAGGAGGCGCTGGCGATTGTGGCGGGGGTGAAAAAAATTCACCACTATCTGTACGGGCGCCCCTTCATGGTCCTCACAGACCACAAGCCGCTGCTGGGCCTCCTGGCCCCCGACCGCCAGACCCCACAGATGATTTCGCGCCGGGTGCTCCGCTGGTCTATTTTCCTGGTGGGGTACTCCTATGCTCTCGTCCATCGCCCTGGCAAGGCGATGGGCCATGCGGACGCCCTGAGCCACCTGCCGCTGCCGGTCTGTGACCCAGATCCTGCTCCTGCCCACCAGATCACTCTCCTGGAGTCCCTTCCGGATCGGCCGGTCCACGTCGCGGAGGTGGCTCGTGGCACCTCCAAGGACAAGGTACTTTGCCAGGTCTTGGACTGGGTGGTGAGGGGGTGGCCCGCGGCCAAAGGAGACCCTGACATAACGCCCTTTGTTTCTCGGAAGGACGAGCTGTCCGTCCACAGAGGCTGTGTCATGTGGGGAAGTAGGGTGGTCATTCCAAAGCCCCTACGGGAGCGGGTCTTCACCCCGGGATGGTGCGCATGAAAGCCTTGGCCCGGAGCTACGTCTGGTGGCCGAGAATGGACCAGGACATAGAGGACATGGTGAAGCGGTGCCAACCTTGCCAAGCGTCCCGGCCTGAGCCTCCCCGAGCCCCGGAACGGGCCTGGGAATCTTCCCACCGCCCCTGGTCCCGGTTACACTTGGACTTTGCGGGACCGTTCCAGGGGCAACTTTTCTTTATCCTGGTGGATTCCTTCAGCAAATGGCTGGAGGTAGTCTCCATGCCCTCCACCTCCTCGAAGGCGGCCATCCGGCGATGTGGTGGATCTTCAGCACCCAAGGAATCCCAGACATGCTGGTCACAGACAACGGAACGGCATTCACGTCCGCGGAGTTCCAGTAATTCACGAGTTACTATGGTATCCGCCACATCCAGGCGGCCCCGTTCCACCCTGCCACCAACGGCCAGGCCGAGCGCATGATCAGAACCACGAAGGACACTCTCCGTCGCTTGGACTTCCCGAACTGGGACAATAAACTGGCGGCTTTCCTTTTCGGCCAGTGAACGACGCCCCACACCACTATGGGGCACAGTCCGGCAGAGCTACTTCTAGGTCGCGGCCTGGCAACCCGGTTGGATCGCCTGCACCCCAACCGGGCCTCGGCAGAGGCACCAGGCACGGAGACACACTGTCTGTCGGTGCATTGCAGACCAAGGGGGGAGAGGTGTAATGTATCCAGTCCGGCTTGGGCTCCACGCGGTCAGGCACAAATGTTGAGCTTCGCTCCAAGAGACAATGGACTATGCGGATCCTAGCCCGCTCCAATCAGGGGGCTAGGTTCCCGGCCGAGAGCCTATGGGACTCTCGGTCACTGTAAATAACCTATTGGGAAGTGGGGTGTGTGTGTTTTGGGTGGCGGTTTCTTGGGGAATATAAGCCGGCCAAAGTCTTCTTGTTCCTGATCGAATAAAGTACACTTTGCTGAAATCCCTCTCCGTCTGCGTACTTTTCACATCCTCTTTAGTGATGATGCCTTTGCAGGTGTATGATCACTAGAACCCGTTCTGGGATCCACTGTCATTCTGGCCAAAAACAAATGAAGTTCATTTAGCTTTCTCCAGGTTCCATTCACTATATTGCCAGTTCTGTACAGTTGGTACCTTTTGATAGGCTGCTGTTAATTTTCTGCAGTATCCCACCCCAGAGGCAGCTGCACCCTGAAGCCCAAAACCACAATATTCCTGCAAAACTAAAACACAGCAGCTGCCCTCCCATTCCTAGCAGTAGGTTATAGATATTTCCCACCAAATCCATAGCGAGTGTTTAGGGTGATCTATTTGCCTTGCTAAGTGGCCAACTTCCCTGTCCGGGAGCACCAATCCAAAACCAAACCCAGTATCCAGATAGAGTTTCCCTGCCGAATTACCTTGTGCATTCAACCCGGATCACAGCCCACCCGCCAGTGTGTAGGTTGCTTCTTACAAGGACGTGTGTGCGTAACGTTGCGTGAACCCCTCCCCCCACTGGTTGTCCGTGCGGTTGTCCTTCCTCGCGGCATCCTTTGCGCTTTTGCTCTTCTCTGACGGCCGGGCCTTCCGCGAGGCTTGTTGTAATGCGCGCCTGGAAACGGCAGATGGAGCTGGCAGCCTGCCTTTGCTCGGCTCTCCGGGCTCCGAGGAGGCAACTTCCAGGGCAGCTATCTGGGGTCCTCATCGGGCGCTTACCTTTCTCTCTACTGACACTTCCTGCACGGCTCCAATTTCCCAATGGGGCATACCAGGCACCACCGCCGAAGCTGAGCCGGGCGCTCACTACCCGCCGCTGGGATATGCCAGGCTGTGACGCGCTCGCTGTTACCGGGAGAAGCGACCTGAATTAGCCCCGGGCCGAAGCAAAGCTCTCGATCTTCCGCCCGCCTTGGCAGAAAAGCGATTCATGGACTCGGGGCACAGGCAGTCGCTGCTTTCTGGCGCTGATCGCCGCCGGCGCCCGCGGGTATGACTGGCACTCTGCGGGGCAGGTGAGAGCAGCCGCACCACAGACAAGGGGCATGGAGCAGCAGGAGGGCAACGAGGAGAGCTTGGGGGGAGCCGCCGCCGCCGCTTGCTCCAGCTCTCCGTCCTCTGCTAGCTCGGAGACCTCCATGTGTCCGGAGGTGGAGAAGGCTCCTGCGCTGGGGCGAAGGCACAGTCACAAGAGGTTTACCGGGCTTAAAATCTTCGGGCGCAGGTAAGCGAGGGGTTGAGAGTCACACTTGGAAAGTAGGGTAGAGAGTGCAAAGAAAAGGGGTGGCGGCAAGAAAAGCTCAATGTCTCTGGGGAGAAGAGGGGCTGTTTGCTGGTTTGAGTTGCTGCGTAACGCCGAGGCGCCCTGGTTCCGACCCGGGAGATCGCTTGACACGGATTGGTTACCTTGCTTAAAACCGTTTGGTCACCTTACGGTGCTCTCAGCCAGAGGCTCCTGCCGCTCTTTTTATCCAAGTGAGGATTCCAGCCTGCGATTGATTGTGAGCGCGGAATCAGGGCGGGTAAATGTAGCGAATCAGTTAGCAGTGAGTACATAGTGGGGCAGGATCATATACACGTGGTGGAGAAGGCGTGCAGGTTTCACTGCGGATTCCTAGGTCTGTTTGTGTTATCTAAAGTTTTGATTGTTCTTACCGCTGTAAGCATTCTGGCCCCCGACCACACACACCTTTTTTTTTTTATTTTTTATATTGTTTAGTGAATTCCTTGAGCAGTTCAGGGCTCCCCTTAATTTTTCTTGTAAAACAGCAATGCGTTCCACACTGGAAGTCAACCCCTCCCCCAGATTGCTGTCAAGAGTTTCACAAAAATGTAGCCAGATTTTATTGTCTGTTGGTGTGAGAATACAAGATAAGATTACATGGTAAAGCCTATACAGATTTATGCCTGGCTGTGACATGAAGTAATCCCTGGGTGTGGTCAGAAAGAAATCCTAGAAGGAATTGGGCAGAGTTTCTGACTGGGAGATGGGGAAGTAGGCACATGAGCGAATGCTCCTCCAGAGCGAAGAGAGACTTGAGCCAGTTTTCTGCTGGGATCTTCCAGTCACACTTATCTGCATTTTCCTTAGGACTTTCTTAGAACGTTGTCATCTTTCTGAACATGTTGTAGGTCTTCAAACCCTGTACAAAGGGAATATCTGTGAGAAGGACTTTGATTCAAACTTTTGTTTGTAATTTTTAATTGTGCAACTTCTAATGAGCAGGTTTCATGCACAAAATAAACATATTGTTAAAAATTAATAGAATGGAGATTTTCTGCTGTAGCTAAAATGACATCCAACGAAGTGTATGAGCCAAAGGATTTTGAGCGGGGGTGGGGGGAGGTAAACAGGATTATAACATTCAATTTGAAAATGACATTTGCCCTAGCCATCGTACACATGCATTTTAAAGGTTTTTTTAAATCATTCTCTATGTGCCTGTTTTCCCTGAATAAACCTATGTTTTGTCTCAGAATATTTGTGGGTTTTGTCTTGGATACTTGGAAGCCTCTCTCTGCTTGCTTTTTGTTGATGTGTGCATTTTTGAAGAGAATAAATGATGATGCTGGAAAGGCCCTATAAGAGTCAGAGGCTCATACAAGAGATGTTAATTAGTATCTCTGCCTGGATGTATGTACAGAGAGTTGGTATGGTAGCTAGAGTGATATATTAGGGCCCCGGTCACACGGGCCGGATGGGGAGGCGAGGCATGGCTAATTGCCCCGGCGCAGTTTGATCCGCGATTACGCAATCAGATGCGCCGGCGGCACACCACGGGTCCGTCCCTCCGCACCGGTGGGTAAACAAGGGTGGCGATCACACGACGATCCTGCAGCACGGCAAAGAAGCGGCACGGCGCGATCACACCAGCAATGGCTAGGTGCCGCTGCCGTGACAAACGGGGTCATTTATTTTTTTTAAGCCAAAACGGCACTTTCGCTTTCCTCTTTGTGCGCATGCGCCGTTGGGTGCTTGTGCGCATCTTGTGAAGACTTGGGGGAAAGAAACCTGTTTGCGAAGGGACATGGGCGGGCGCTGGATGCCACCACCAGAAACGCGATCAGACGCCTGCCCTTGCCCCGCGGTTTCCGGAAACTAGTACCTCGGAGGTACTAGTTTTTAACTCTGCATCTTTGGCGGGAAGCCTCTGGTTCGCCACAGGAGCTCTACGCTTCCCAGATGTTGCAGTGTGATCGCGCCCGGAAAATCTGCCTATCTTCCGTCTCTGTAGCGTGGCTAATGCTCCGTGTGACCGCAGCCCCCAGGACAGGGGAGACCTGGCTTCAAGCCTTACTTAGCCATGAACCTTACTGGGTGGGAACATCACTCTCTGATCCTAATCTACCTTGCAGGATTGTTGTAAGGATATGGGGGGTTGGAACTATGTATTCTTCCCTGAACTCCTTGAAGGAAGTTGGGATAAGCATGGAATAAACAGAAGTATGGGATAAGCATGGAATAAACAGAATAAACAAATAGTAACACTGTTTTTGATGAAACCATCTGTATGAAACTTAACAAGCCTTAAGGTGCCTTGAAGGCTAAGTCTGAAAATATTGGTCCACTAGATGCTCATGGATCTGTGGCATCTGGTACTTTGCTGTGTTGCTGATTTCTCTGCACAATAGATTAGATTCAGGAGCAGATATGGGGTGGGGCACACAGGCAATATATTTTTCTTACTGTTTGTTACAGCACAGCATGAATCCAGCATGAAAGGGTGATTTTGGAGAAGTGCTAAGCAAATCAAAACCAGAAGAACAGGTTCAGTTGTGGTGGGAGTTTTTCAATAGTGCTTAGATTTAAGAGTATTTTACCCTCTTTCCTCCTAGCCATGTGGCAGATATGATTGTCTGAGAATAACCAAAGAATCTGTAATGACTGGAACAGAAGCAGTGCCATTGGTAAAGCATCTCTGGTTAGGTAGGGTAGTTCAGGAATGCATGTTATGACCATGTGGTCCATTGGATAGTGTGGCACACTACAACTCTGGGTAACATGGGTTTGAATCCCCACTTCTACCATGGAAGCTTGTTGAGTGGCCTTGGGCCCATCAAACTCTCAGCCTGGCCTACCTCACAGGGTTGTTATGAGGAAATGGAGGAGGGGAAACAATGTTCAAAGCTGAAGAGTGTTACTTGTTAAGAGAATGAAGGGCCACTTTTTGTCTGTGATCTGTGCTGTTCTAGTTTGCACATCATTGATGAGGTTTTATTTGCCTAGACTCTGAATTATGTAGAATTATATTAATGTATTTCTTAGGAGTGATGATTCTCATATTATGAGCATTTGTTGACTGCTGGTAGAGTCAACTCACATTTCACTGGCATCCCTGTTTTCCCTCCCGTATGTGTCAAGTTTTAATTGGAGGGGCAGGCATGCGGTATAGAGGCCTGTCAGAAGAGTCAAAATCGGTGCATGCCCATCATGTGTTCGGCAGTGGCATCTTTCTTTTCTACCTGTACAGATGGCAAAACATAATGTCTGGCTAAAGTATGACTTAACTTTTGGAGGAATAAGTTGCAGGTGGAGGCAATATAGCTCCCAGATCTAGCCAATAACAATATGATTGGGAAATCCTTGTAGTAAAGAACAGCTGAAAGTGATAAATGACTGGTTACTCATTTCATATGGCTTTTCATATCCCTTTTGTCTTGTCACGTTCAGCCTTACTTTCACTTTTAAAAATCAGACCTATCCCTTTCGATCCAGAATGCCTTCTTGAGGTTAATGTGAATTGATTGAGTGCTCTCAAGAATTAGTTTTTCTGTATAGGTGACTACTGTAAAACATACTGTCCGTGCAGATGCTCTCCAGGGATCAGAATGTCTATGGTGCTGTGGATGGAGAGCAAAGCCAGGTTGTGCTCTAGAGAGAAACGTGTTTGATGTTGTGCTGCACAAGCGTTGCGTCCCTGGGCTGAACAGGGATCTCGGTGTGGGAAGCTATTGGTATAGATTGGAAGGAAGCTGTAATTTCAGGCTCAGGGATGTAATTAGAGCCCCAGAAGACAGTGCTGCAGTATCTGATTAGGCTGTCGACAATATGTAATGGCAAATGACTGGGCTAGTTGGAAATCATGGTGGCTGTTGGCCAGCTTTGTGTGTAACCACATTGGCTAATGTTTAAGCACAGGGTGATCTCTGAATTGCCATTGTAGTATTTTTGCCCATTATTCACAAGTTAAAATATTGGATGGGCGGTTGGGGCAGAAGGGCCACAGTTGTAGGTTGTGGGTCTTGTGCTAATCCAGCACGCCTTCCTGTGTCTAGATCAGGGGATGTGCTTCAGATCATCTCTCTGTCCTTGTAGTATCTTTCACACTAAGATCCAGGTGGGTAGCCATGTTGGTCTGAAGCAGTAGAACAAATTTTGAGTCCCGCGGCACCTTTAAGACCAACAAAGTTTAATTCTGGGTATATTTGAGTCAGCCTGCCCTAAAGTATTCTTGACAAGTATTCATCCAGCGACTGCTTGAAGACTGCCGGTGAGGGGAAGATACATCCCTAGGCATCTGATTCCACTGCTGAACTACTCTTAGTGAGAAAAAAATTCTGGCCTGACCGATCTCATCAGACCTTGGAAGCTAAGCAGGGCTGACCCTGGCAAGTACCTGGAAAGGCGACCTCCGAAGAATACCAGGGCCAGGATGCAGAGAAAGATAATATAAGCCACCTCTGAAATGTCCTAGCAACCATGTCCCCCCTCAACTTCGTCTTCTCCAAACTGAACATTGTCAAGTCCCTCAGCCTTTTGTCATCAGGCTTGGTTTCCAGGCCCCTGATAATCTTCATTGCTGTCTTCTGTATCCACTCCATTCTGTTCACATCCTTTTAAAAGTGAGGCCTCCAGAACTGCACACAGTACAACAGGTGCAGCCTGACCAATGCGGTGTACAGCAGGACTATGACATCTTGCTATCTGGATGTTATGCTTTTGTTGGTACACCCGAAGACCGTATTAGCCTTTTTTGCTTCTGCATCACATCGACTGCTTGTATTTAGCTTACTGTCTACCTGTACCCTAAGATCTTGTTCTCACACAGTGCTATGCAGAAATGTTTGCCCCATCCAGTATGTGTGCTTCTCATTTTTGTTAGCCAGATGTAAAACTCTGCACTTATCCTTGTTGAACTGCATCTTGTTTGCATCCACACACTTTTCCAGTAAGCTGAAAACGTGAATGTCCAACTCCTGGCCTTTATTCTTAGCAGCACTTTA